CCAGGGATCGAACTCGGATCTTTGTGCTTGCGAGGCAAGTGGCAGAGGCAGAACCACTAAACCAAATCCCCGGCCAAATAAGTGTTCATTTAAACAATTATAAAGTGATTGTTGAAAACATTTTATAACAAGTCAACATTTAAATAATCTTTTTGTTTTGGAGGCAGGTACTGGGGGGATCAAACTCAGGACCTTGCGCTTGTGAGGCAGGTGTGGCACCACTGAGCTAAATCCCTGGCAAAACTCGATTTCTTAAGTAACCAAAACCCTAACAATGGAAAACACAAGAAAGTATCTTAATTATTTCAGCACTGTGGGAGGCTGAGCCAGGAAGGTCACAAGTTTGAATCCAGCCTGGGCAACTTAGTGAGACCCTGTCTGAGAAATAAAAATAAGAGGTGGTTGTGTAGCTCAGTGCAAAGGCCCTGGGTTCAAGCCCTGTACTGCTGGGGTGGGGATAAAGACAGACAGGCAGACGAGTACATTGCAGTGTTAAGCTTGTGAGAAAGAAGCTTTATATTTATTACATTGGAATATCTAACTACAGCTGGAATCAAACCAGCCACTTACTAACTGAACAGTGTGTGAATTTCACAACTTCACTTGATAAATGAGAATGGTAACTACCTTGGCTGGGGCGCTCCGTGAGGTTCCGAATAACGCATGTAAAACACTGAGTTTAGTGTAGACAGAAAGCACCTGGGAGCTCTGGAGGAGACAGGCGGGGGGCTCTTGGAAGCTTTGAGTCAGTCTCTATTTTAGACTTCTGTTAACAGTGTTTGGTTTGACCACATGCTCCACGTGACCGAACCCACCCAAGTTTAGTCATGGAGAGGTTTGGAAAATATGTAAATAACCGAGTCCAAAGAAAAGTCTGCATTTCAGCTCCTGTATGCTCTGCTTAAGAAGCAAGATTTTGAGGCACAGAGATAGTTCATAGAAGCTGGGGGTTCTGGAGGTGAGAAGGTGGGCATGGTATGGAAGAGGTGAAGAACTTAAGAGCATGTTGGGTGTGCTATCATCCAGCTATTAAATTATAGTGACAGATCTTTATAATAGTGAAATGCTTAGTTTTTAAAGTCATAATGATTATTTTGTTAGAAATACATAAGAATTTACTGGAGTAGGAGGAATTTGGTTGGCTTTTTTTTTTGGTATCAAGGATCGAACTCAGGACCTTGCACTTGCGAGGCAGGTGGTGGCACCACTGAGCTAAATCCCCAGGGGCCCCCCCCCCCAGTTTTTTTTCTTTGAGCTCTGAGCCCAGGCTACTCTAGAACTCTTGACCTCAAATGATCCTCCTGCCTCAGCTTCCTGAATAGCTGGGACTATTCAGATATGCACCACCACATCTGGCAAAGCATTTCTTTTTACTCTAGGCTTTCTGGTTATGCATTTATTTTTGTCCTCATAGCTGAAATATCTAAAGGTGAAGTTTTCTTTTTAAGTGCCCTAAATAAAAGAGTCTACTTGATTTAAATGGGGTAATTTTTTTATGCAACCCTTGATTCAACACAGTTACATTTTGAGTTGTTTCTCTTTTGTATTTATTTCCAATACTTGAGTTCAAAGCACTTTGCAAGTGTTTTCTATATTTGGGAACATTTATGCTAACCATAGTTTGCTTGCTGCCAAAACATTGAAAGCACAGGCTTCCAAATGCATCCATGGCCAAGCGCCATTCAAGTCTGTGCTGTGAAGTGTGGAGAGGGGAGAAGCCAAAGCCCTCCATGAACTGTGCCTGGTGAGCACGTGGAACCCACTGCTTCTGTCTGTTTCTTGCTTTAAGAACGACAGTCGTAAAGCAAATGCTGCCGTACATTTCTTCTCTCTTGTTTGCAGTGAGACCTCTCAGATCCTGAATGACATCCGTCAACTCGCCGGTGCAGCGCTTTCCTCTGGGAAAGTGACTAGCGTGCCTTTGAAACTAGAGAAGGCACCGGTGCACACTGAACAGGGGCCGGAGGCTCTCACTCTCCCTGGTCTCCTACAAAGGTCGCCGCTGTGACCTGCAGAGCACTGGGAGTGTTGGGCATGTTTGGTGGCATGTTTACTCAAGTTACTAAAATGTATGCGTTTAAGTTTTGTTAAGACAGAAGTCTTTTTTATTTTTTAGTGAGGTGGAAAGGCAAATACTCGCTAAGATATGGTTGCTTGCATCTAACTACTTTTAGCAGTGATTTTGATGACTGAACTCTTTTTTTTCCTGTGATTCTGGGTATTGAACCAGAGCACCGGGTCACAGGCATGTGCTGCCACACCTGGCACAACTAAACGCTGACCATGGATTTTGTCTGTCCTCCGGAAGCCACCTGCCGTCTCCTGATGGCTGTCACTTGGCGTCACCACATCATGGATCGGTCAAGGGCTCCTGCGACTCTGCAGGGCTCTCGCGCAAGCTTGGGCTGCTGGTCTTCAGATCCCACTGCTTAGCAGGAGTCCCGCGGCAGCACGCATGCTATCTCTTTCCAAGTAAAATCCCGACAACCTGGCACAACAGGGAGATGAGCACTCTGAAGACCGCTTGCTAATGGACGCCAGGGGGCTGGCCTGCTTTTAAATTTAGCATCAGATGCAGAGATTCATTCAGTAAGCTGCCATTTGGAAGCTGCAGAAAGAAACATTATATTCTTTGAATAAATGTGTTGCTTTTCTAATTTGTTTCTCTTTAATGTAAATACAAGGACCTGTGAGAGTAAAGGGCTTGTCTGTGCGTAATGTAAATTTAAATTTCTTGTGACTAAGAATGTTTCTTTCCACTGAGTGACAACCTTTATAAAACTAAGAGACACAAAGTATCGGCACCCTTAACTGATGCCTTTTAAAAATATGTGTACAGAAAACTTCTCTCACTCCAGAGGCGAGGCAAGGCAGGCAGGCAGTCGTGAGGAACAGGTTAGGAAGTAGAGCTCTGCAGCCCTGTTTTCTAGAGCAGCAGCCAGTCGGGCCTGTCGCTTTCTTCTTGCTTGCTGGGCAGGTGCTGTACACCCCTTGTACCCAGGTTTGGGGCTGTAACTATGCTCTGTGTTTCACTGTAAGACCCTGCCCTCATGGTTCTTCTCGCTCTCTTTTTATTTTATGTATTCGTTTGTCCAGGGGTGAGGATCAAGCCCAGGGCCCTCTCCAGCCCTGAGCTGCGGCCAAACCCCAGGCCCAAGCCTGGCCAAGCTGGCAGATGTGTGTGCCATGGAATGCTGCCCACAGGCACAGAAGCCTGTGGCATGGATGTGTTCCTGTAATCTTAGCACTCAGGAGGCTGAGGCAGGAACCATGAGTTCTCAGCCAGCCAGCCTGGAATACGGAGTGTGTTCTAGGCAAGCCTGAACCCTAATGAGATCCTGTCTCAAAAAACCAAAAATAAATAAATAAATAAAATAAAACAAAAAATGTCATCCCCTATGATGGGCGACTCCAGTAGTGTAGAGATGCCTGAGATGAATTTAATCAGGACAAATATTATGTCCAGCGCACAGTATAAGAGAAACAATGGCTGTATAGCATTGGTCACTTTTTTAAAGCATTTAAAATCTTCCTGAAATTGTTGAAGTCGTCTGAAAGTAGCACACTGACTGATAGTGTGTCTGTATCCAGACTTAGGCCACTCTAATTTTAAGCCTTTGGACAACCAGGAGGGGAGCGCCTGCTCCTCATACCAGAAGGATAGTGGTGAGGAGCCTGAGGGTGATTTATGCCGGCCACGGTTTCACGAGAGACTCGGATCTAATACGAGCAGGCAGGGTATAGAAGACAGGCATTGTTTTGTTTCAGACAGGACTTGTTGGGCCAGAAGTGAGTGGCTGAAGCTCACTGCATCACCAAGGTCATCGTCCGGGCTAAGAACGCCTCCACCTGCTAGAGGGACTGGACCAGGAGCCAGTGCTTTGTTAGGGCCAAGTGGTCACGCACTGACCTGGCCTGTGCCTGTGAGTGGCCTCCCAGTCGCCACTGTTGGAGCTCCTGACGGAGGTGGATGGTGCCTGGGCCCCACACCTGCTGCCTTTGGTGAGACTCGGACTGAGCTTGAGCCTTTGGCTAGAGCCTAGGAGGGGAGAGGCCACGTGGTTCACGCAGCAGCGCCAGAGCCTAGAAGCTAGTCCAGGGAGAGAGGGACCAGGCAAGGTAGCAGACTGAGAAATGAGGCACTCTTCGGAGGGAAGCCGTGGCTGGGCTGGGCCGGGCCTCTTCAGGTCTGACTGCAGGTGCTTGGTGTTCCAGCCGCCGCCCTGGGTGGGTCGTCAGCTGTGGCCGCTCAGAGTCTGCTGACCTTGGGTGGCTTCTGCAGCCTGACCTGCCCCACAGCCCTGTCCTGGGTACACGTGGCAGCTGGGCAGAGTTCGAGAGAAAACGTGGGTGCACACAGGGCTTCGTGAGGCCTGAATCAGAAAGCGCCAGTCACTTGCACCCAGTTCTGTGAGCAGAGAGAATCTCACGGTGGCCTGAATTCCAGGGCCCAGCAGCAGATGCCATCCCTGCAGGGGCCGGAAGAGCCGGGCCGGGGGCCAGGGAGATATCAGGAGAATTACTGCCACCTTCTTTGTCAATAATCCACAGCGGCAGGCGCAGTGTGTAATGGACCACGGGTCCATGGAAGTGTGCGCGTGTGTGCGTGTGTCCACCCAGGCCTCCTCTCCTTCCCAGGCCAGGCCAGCCCTGATAGCGGGAGAGACCATGGCAGCCACGCCTGTGGATGACTCTGTGTGGCGAGTCCATAGCCGGAAAGCAGGTTTCTTTCTTGCAGTGAGTTTTGTGTTGCGGGGATGTGGAGTTTTGAAGTCACAGGTTCTCAAATACACGGGCTCCTTCTTCCACAATGAGACGGAGGCATTCAGTATATGTTCACCGAATGTGTCCAGAAGGAAACTAAACGCACTTTGCATCGTGAGTGGCGGTCCCTCATTCATGAGTCTGCGTGCAGCTGCGTGGAGGGCATTGTTACGGATGCAGACGCCGGGGGCTGTTGCTCAGCCTGAGCGTTTCCGCTGTGCTTGTCTCGTGTGCAGGAGCTGTGCCAGTGCCGGCCCGGCGAGGGGAACTGCTCGTGCTGCAAGGAGTGCATGCTGTGCCTGGGCGCCCTGTGGGACGAGTGCTGCGACTGCGTGGGTGAGTGGCCCCTGCCCGGCACCCACGTTCCTTCTTCCTGCTTGTTTTGAGGCAGCATCTGCCACGTAGCCCGGGCGGGCCTCGGACTCGGTCCTCCTGCCTCAGCCTACTGAGTGCACCACCGCACCTGGCCGACTCAGGATTTCCTACGATAGGATCCTCGATAAATGAGTACTTCATGGGAGTGCACAAAGAAAACACGCACCATTTCACTTGCTTCTATTGCACTGTATTTACATTAGGAAAGAAATCTGAGACGAAATGTAAAGCGCTTACCTTTGGGCTGGAGGAGTGGGGAAACCAAGGGAGAATTTGTTACTTTTTACTTGGACATCTTGTATACTGTTGACTTTTTTATAAAACACATTTTTGCTTCCTAATACAAAGCATGCTTTATAAGAAGCATCTGAGAAACTTTTTCCGAGATGGATTAATAAAAAGGCCAGGTGCACGCGTGTGCCAACAGAACAAGGTCGCCCGCCTGTTCCTGGGGGACCCCCCCCCACCGTCCGCCCTCTCCCCTCGGGGCCAGAGTGGCACCTCCCTTCCTCAGAGCCTGCCCACTGTGCATGAGTGTGCGAGCTCTGTGTGTGCAGGGTCCATGTGCATGTGTGAGGGGTGTGCTCGTGTGTGGGATCCATGTGTCCCCATGAGCGGGGTCCATGAGTGGGGTCCGTGTGTCTTTGTGCGGGGTCCGTGTGCAGGGTCCATGTCTGTGGCTCCTGCAATGGGTGCCCACCCTCCTTGGCCAGCAGCTATCCTGAGATTTCCCAAGATAGCCCGCTCGCTTCTCCCTCCTCGTCCACACCCGGCCACCTCCACTCTTCCGTGCTGTTTTCCTTCCACAGCCCTAAGCAGTACCCTTTTGCTGTCCTCTTTGCTCCCTGTCCCAAGGGTTCGGTCTCTGTCTTGCTTTGCCGTGTGGCTGTGGCCATGCTTTAGTGAGCGAGGCAGGCATTTAATTGTCAGGTGCATAAAGCAGTGTCTCTGGTTTGCCGCCCAGCAGTTTACTAAGTGTGAGTGAGTTGCCCTGTGTTCGGTGTGCTTCCTGACCATGTCCTCATCTTCTGGTCCTTCTGTTAACTTCTTGTTTTGCTTTGTATTTGTGGCACTGGGGATCAGCCCTGTGCCTCAGGCATGCCAGGCAGGCACTCTGCCACTGAGCTCCTCCCCGGTCCTTTATATTAATTTTTAAATTCTCTTTTTTTTTTTGGTACTGGGGATCAAACTTAGGACCTTGTGCTTGCAAGGCAGGCGGCGGCACCACTGAGCTAAACCCCTAGCCCCTAAATTCTTTTTTTTTTTTTAAGACAGTCCCATTGCATAGTCCAGGTCTTAAACTCACTGTGTAGCCCAGCTTGGCCTGGAACTCACAGCCCTCCTGCCTCAGCCTCCTGAGTGTGCCACCACACCCAGCTTGATCTTTAAGTTCTTGACTTCTGTCTGATTTCCAAGTGCTCTTCGCCGATTGTCCTCTTTGGGCACACGCACACTGACCTTGTGGTGCTTTCCTGTCTTTCCGGGACTGTTGGTTTCTCTCCCACTCCTTGGCGGTCTGCTGACTCCGGTGTGGGTCTCGGTGCCGTGATGGTGAGGACCCTGGAGATCTCCACTCCCTTGCCTTGTTTTCCATCCTTGTCGCTGCCTTTGGCAGCTTTTGGCATCCCCAGCCCAGGGCTCCTTGTTGCTGGATTTCTTCCCAAACCTAAAATACTTACCAGTTCTTCTTTGACACCATCTGATGCTCACCCAGTTTATACTCAGATTTCACAAAATGTGTCTTGTATTTGTTTTACTCAAATGAAGATCCAGCAAAGTCCACTCACTGTCCTTGGTTATGGGTTTCTTTTCTGTTTTAGTCATGAATTCTTTTTTGACACAGGGTCTTGCTATGTTGCCCAGGCTGGTCTCCCAATTCCTAGATCAGGGGATCCTCCTGCCTCAGCCTCCCAAGTAGTTGGATGTACAGGCCCACACCACTGTGCCTGGCTCTTTGGTTTGTTAGGTTTCTTTTATTGTAGAAGCCTGCCCCCATCTTTTAATATTCCACTGGCTCTTTGAAGAATCCAGTCAGTGATGGTGGAGAATGAGCTGTCTTATGGATTTGGTTGACCGCTCCCTGCAGTGTTCAGTTGTTGCTCTGTCCTCACTGCTTCCTGGAAGTTGGGAGCTGGATCTGGAGGCTGATTAGATGCAGGCAGGACTGTGGGGAGGTGGGCACAGTGGCCCCGTGTGCACAGATGGCAGTGCTGTAGGTGACACTGGCCCCAGACAGCAAAAGCCTGGTCCCTGGTGGAGACCCCTGCACCGGTGGCAGCGCCGGGGTCCGTGACTCCGTTAGAAGCTGTCAGGCCGTTGTCCCGCCCTACAGCCTTCCGCAGTACTGCTGCAGCTGGAATCACCCTGTAGCCAGTGGGGCCCTTGGTTTTCCCTGAAGGAAGGGAAAAGTAAATGCAAGATAAATGCTTGATTCTTTCCCTTTTCCCATTTTCAGAGTGCTGGATTCATGGCCTGGCACATCCCATTAAGATTTGCGGGGGATGCTGCACAAGTGCAAGGACCTGAGCTCGATCCCCAGTACAAAAAAAAAAATTCTTATTTTTGCTTTTTGTTAGTTTTCTTGCTTGCTTCTTTTATTCAAGTATCACTGTGGACTTCTGGCTTTTAAACAGTGTTTAGTATTTTATTTGGCTGCTCAGCTCATCCTGCCTGGGTTATAGGAGCCACTCACATCTCCCGTGGGATCGCCACTGCCCATCGTCTCGGCAAAGCTGAGAGTGGCCTGAGTGTCACCTCACATCTGGGCTGAGCCCTGATCCCTGTAGGAAAGAGACCTCAGTGTGAACCTGGTGCCTCGCCGTTACTGCTGGATCATCTTCTGGCCCTGACCAGCGGTCAGAGCTAAGGCTGGGTACAGGGTGAGGGCTGAGGTTGCACTGGTAATGCCAAGGCCACTGTAAGATGACAGGTCTTTCCTCCTCTTGATTTTATCGGTAACTTCTCTTTTAAGCTGAAATTCTTGGTTCCTAACACCACTGATACCACTGCTTACACACTTTATTCATAACACATCAAGGAGACTGTTGGATGAGAAATGCTGCGTTCTTGAAGACGTGACCGCAGATACTGCGACACAGGCTCCGCTGGAATAATGTTCTGACTTCTGTGATCATCTTGATGTAAAGTGAAGTTCATTTGTGTTCATTTGTTTTTGATGTCTCAGGGATTATTCCCTTTTTGATTTATTCTTGTTTTGATTTTGCAAAACATTTACATAATGACAAAGACAAATGTATACAACCATGGTTTATTTCCACCTGCATCACCTGCACACCGTGGGTCCCCTCACCAACAGTTGAGGTGACCACGGCAGGCTGAGCCCAAGCCAGACCTCACTGAGCTTCCTGAAGGAAACTGGACCTGCAGCCACTGTTCAGAATTTCTAAAAGCTTTTGTGTTTGCTTAGCAAAACACTCATTTCCTGTGCAAAGACGTTAAGCTCCTTGCTGCCTCTTTTCTTCTCTTCCCTTCTCTCCTCCCCTTCCCTTTCATTTCAGACTGGGCTGTGCCCTGGAGCCACCTCCGTGCTTTGTTCTGGGCAGGTACGAACCTGCGCTGACAGTGGTAGTCTGTATGTTCGTCCCTGTGTCCCTGCATGAATGTTCGGCTGGTTTCCAGTCTTTCTTGATCACAAAGACTACCGCAGTGGGTAGCCGTGTGGGACGGCCAGTTTGATGTCAGATTACTAGCAATTGTCAGATTCTCATCCAAAAGGGTCGCATACCTCACATTTTCACCAGTGCAGCATAGCTCTGCCGCAAGCCTACTCCCTGCAACATTACCACTAAGAAATGACAGCACCAAACTGGTTGCTATTGTTAATAACTTTGGATTTTTGTTATTAAGATAGTTTAAAAAATAGTATAATTTTAATTTTCACATTTTCACTTCTCTTTTTGTACGGTACTGGAGACTAAACCCAAGGTCTTCACACTGAGCTACGTCCCCAGGCCTTTTTTGTTTTATTTTGAAGCAGGGTCTCATTAAGTTGCTAGGCTGGGCTTGAACTTGTGGTCCTGTGTCCTGAGCCACCGGTGTGCAGCATCTGCCCAGCTGTCCATTTCTTTTATCACTGTGGCAGTCAGGCACTGGCTAATAAGCCTAAGGCTATCATATTTATCTTGTGTGACTAGTTGATTCCTAAGTTTTCTCTCCTTTTTCTTCGTAAGTTACCAAGGATCAGAACTCTGTTCTAAGCATTTTCTCCCATCAGTCATTTGTGTTTTAACCTTGCTTTCATACTTTTCTTCCTGGAAAGTTTTAGTTTTGAAGTAGCTGATTCCATCAGTGTTTTCTCCCCTCATCATGAGCTGCAGCGGGTTTTCCCCACGCCCTGCCGGTACGTGCGTGGGCTTGCTTGCTTGCTTGTTTGTAGCTCTCTAACCCACTTACTCTTCACTCAGCTTTATATATGAACAGTGGATTCAGTTTTTCTTTTCAAACAACTGCTCCTATTATTTATATTATTTTTAAGTCCTTGTAGTAGTATGGTGCACACCTGTAATGCCAGCGCTCTGGGAGACTGAGGCAGGAGGATCAAAATCTTTGAGCCCAACCTGGGCAACTGAGTGACTTAGAAAGAGCCTGTCTCATGCCAGGGATTTACCTCAGTGATTCCGGTGCCTGCGTCACAAGCGCAAGGTCCCGAGTTTGATCCCTGGTCCAAAAAAATTGAAGAAAGAGCCTGTCTCAAAAATAAAATAATTTTTGGGCCGGGGATTTAGCTCAGTGGTTCCAGCGCCTGCTGTGTAAGCACAAGGTCCCAAGTTCAATCCCTGGTACCAAAAAATAAATAAATAAATAAATAATAAAATAAAATAAAATAAAATAATTTTCAAAAAAGGGCTGGGGATGTAGCTCAGTGCAAAAAAAAAAAAGTAATATAGCAAAAAATTAAATTAATTAACTAAATTAATTAAAGTTAAATTAAAATAATTGTTAATCCTTGTGTAGCATCTCTCACGCATCTTTCATTTGGCCCTCACAACAGACTAAGGGGGCATTAGTTAGGTCTTACTGCCCCTCACCTGTTTTGCGTTTGCGGAAACCAAGGCCTGGAAGGGCTCGTGGGAGGGGGAGTCAGCACTCATGTGGTCCCCTGTGCTCTGTCTGCTCGCGTTCGCATGTCATTCAGCTCCTTGTGAGTAGCAGTGACCCCAGAATCCTGACAGAATACTTTAGCTATCATCTGTACCCAGTGCCTGCTACTCTTCAGCTAGGAATTGTTGCAAGATTTAAGAAATAATTATTTACAAATACTGATTTTCATAGTTTAAATTTCACATATTTTTGTCCTAAGTGTTCTAAATGCACAAAACTTCTGAAATGTTTGCTGTCATGACTTCTGTTGTAATGAGCACTGGGGTCGCTGTAAAGTCTCCAGACGACACTGACTTCAGCCCTTCTGACCTCTGGACTCGCTGCTCTTCTCATCTCTGGTTACAGATTTCCGCTCAGCGTAGATGCAGGCAGAAGACAGAAGCGGTCCAAAGAGTGTTGGCCTCCCGAGGCCACTTAAGGGTCATTACGGAAGGGGTCCCCAGGAAGTCAGCAGCCGGGCTCAGCTGGGCTCAGACTGGCTCTGGCCTGGGTTATGTAACAAGACGAGTTTACTGTATCAGGGCTGTTTGCACACTGACGAGAGGGCTTAGGGTTGATCATTAACCCGTAGTTCTTTGATACAATCTGATTATTAAAGTTCGGAGGTATTGAAAAATCTATCCCTCTTAGCTCTTGCCATGTTCCTCAACAAAATGTGGAAAACAAGTGAGACATTTTTTCTCCTCCCTGCATCTGTAAGACTTGGAAACTTTTAAATTTGGTTTAAGTTTTCAAACCCTCAATCTGGGAGAAGACAAGTAACTACACGTTAGATCTAATCGGTGATAAACAAAGTGAAGCTGAATTTCAGCTTTGAAAGGGTTGTGTTCCTGAGAGGAACCCAGAGGCTCTGCTGCAGCTCCTGTTGCTCTAGCCCAGTCCCCCCAGAGTGATCGGCCCAGTGGGGGCTGAGCTGGGCCTGGGGGCCTGCCCACACCTGCGTGTCCTGGGTGACCCCATCTGCTCACCCTCTGCCCTCTGTCCCTGGATGCGGAGAGCGAGCCCTCTCCTCCGTTAGCTCATCCTGCCTGTGTAATGCACCCACGGGTCCTGTGTGCTCAGGGCCGGCATCCATCATCGCCACTTTGGTGCTGAGCTGTGGCTGATGGGCTGTCCCCAGGTCACCTCCTGTCCTTCCCATCACTGCTGGCCCCTCCCTTCCACAGGGAAAAGCTTCCCCTTGGGCTCTGCTCCCGGCCTGCCGGCCTGGAATCTGCCTTTCTCCAGGATCTGGTCCTGGCTGTGCTCAGAGCTGCTGGGGAACATTGCGTCACTCCTAGGCCCTCTCAGCGAAGACTGAGAAACGCCGACATGCAACATTAGAAGCCACACAGCTTTAATCTGCTGGAGATTCGATTGCATGGCAATCACCAGCAAACCCCCGCGAGGTCACTGCTGGGGTGCCAGCCTGTGCCTCTGCCTCCCCAGGGATGTGCAACCCGAGGAACTACAGCGACACCCCGCCCACCTCCAAGAGCACGGTGGAGGAGCTGCACGAGCCCATCCCCTCCCTCTTCCGGGCGCTCACCGAAGGGGACACCCAGCTCAACTGGAACATCGTGTCCTTCCCTGTCGCAGAGGAGCTTTCGCATCATGAAAATCTGGTTTCTTTCCTGGAAACTGTGAATCAGCCCCACCACCAGAACGTGTCTGTCCCCAGCAACAATGTTCACGCGCCTTACTCCAGCGACAAAGGTAACTCCTCTCACCCCTGGGTCCCATCCCTGAGGTCTGGGGCAGCCTCTTGGCTTTGAATCTGTACAGTCTCAAGAAAGGTCTGGGTTTCTCTCACCCGGAACTCCGAGTGGACAGGGAGGCGTGTCAGCACCGTCCCAGCCCTGCTCCTCCTGGGGGAAGAGGTCACTGTTTCTGGTCCTGGTGTCGGCCTGCATCGGCTGTAATGGTTCCCGAGAGGGCGCAGTGCCACCTGGCTGCATGCCGTTGCTCAGCTCCAGTGACGCCCACAGGTGATGCCAGGGCCACCGGCTGAGCTGTGTGTGGGCAGTAGGGTGCAGACTCCCAGCCTGGCCAGGCCTCTGCACAAGCGCCGGGGCCAGGGGAGCTGAAGTGAGAGGAAGACTCTCTAGTGAGGGAAGGCCCAGCGTGACTTCAGAAAGTAAAGGGCGGGTGAAATCTGTAAATGTCTTTGATATCTTCCAGTGAAAGGCACCATACAGTTTCACTGTAGAATGAGGCAGTTATGAAAAGTTTAGTTATTTCATAACACATGAAATAAACTAAGTATAAATACTATAATTTGTACTTTAGTTAGCTGTTTGTAGTAGCCACCACTATAATCCTGCCTGCATAAAATAGAAAAGAATTTGGAACAAATTCAAAAGCAAAACAGCTTTTGTTAAATGAGAGTAAGAATTATTTCCTTTTAGATGAAAGTATTTTATAAAAAAAATTCTAGGTTTTGGAAAACAGAAATATACGGGATATGATAAGATGTTTTGCCTCCATTTGCCCCATTATTAAAATGTAAGTAATCAGCATGGTTGATTATGTATAAAGCATGGTTGCCCTGTATAAAGTTTCCTTGGAGATTACTGAAACTCCCGAAAGTATCAGCCGGAACCCAGTCGCTGGGTGGGCAGCTGTCCTTGCAGACAGGGCCAGAGGCACCTTGGACAGCTGCTGCTCCCACACCCCTCTCTCCTTTAACTTGCAGGTCTGCCTTTCTCTACACAGTTCCTGACTCCGATTACTCTGCATCCCTAGTGGCCTTCCCTGGCAAGGGTCAGGAGCCACTCTGCATCGATAGATGCAGTGGATGTAGGAGGTTTGAAGGCTCCCACTTCTGCTCCCTGACAGCACCCTGGTCTCCATGGTCTGGTGTCACAGTGCTCCCCAAGTTTCCTCTTAAACCAGGTCCCATCTGTGTCCCTAGTGAGGTCCTGCAGTGCCCTGAGGCCCTCCACCGTGTTCTGGCTCGCCTCCGGCCGCACCGCGTTTGTGACTCCTCTTCTGGTGCCAGAGCTTGGCTTTCTCTTCCTGACGCAAGCCCAGTGTTTCCCATTAAGCCTTCCCTCACTGTTCAGACCCTTGGTGACTTACCTGTTCTGTAAACGGCTCTGTGAAAATAACTTCACCTTCGAGTGTACACTCTCAGTTTAGTGGATTTTGTTGTCCTTGATTTATTTCATGCACCTTATACTCCTAGCTAGGAAGTCTAATGGGGTTAACCTCCAGGAGACTTAAAAATCAGGAGTGATTGTCTTTTTTTGGGTACCGGGGATCAAACTTGGGTCCTTGCGCTTACAAGGCAGGCAATAGAGCCACTGAGCTAAATCTCTGGCAGGAGTGATTGTCTTTTTAGAAATTAGGACTAGAAACTGACTTTAATGATGAGAATATATACTCAGGACCTTGGGCTTTCGAGGCAGGCACAGCACCACTGAGCTACGTCCCAGCCACCTAATAGCCCACGTTTGTACCAAGCATTGCCAGTCACTGTGCATCATTCACGTTACTTGAGTTTGGCTTAGTTTATTGTAAATTCTCCACATGACCTTAGAGTCATAGTTTTCAAACTTCCTTTGGTCGGAGAATTCTCTCTACATGGGAAATCTCATCAGAAATGCTCAGTTTAAAAAGCACAGCTCATGGGGCCGGGGATGTAGCTCAGCGACACCGCACCTGCCTCACAAGCACAAGGTCCTGAGTTCCATCCCCAGTACCAGAAAAAAAAAAGCACAGCTCAGGGCTGATGTAACCGAGCAGCAGAGCCCCGGCCCACCACACGCAAGGCCCTGGGCACCCCCCACCCCCAACACAGCTCTGTAGCATAGAAGTAATCCAGCCTGTAGGCCCTTGGCCTTCCTCAGCCAGAGCGGGAGCGCTTCCACCCGAGTCACAGATGCTGCCTTTCTCCTCGTACCCCCACTTCATCCTGGGCAGCCCTTGGGGAGGAGCCAAGACAGACACCGAGTACTGCTGAGCGGGGTGATGGAGCACTTCCTTGCCTGCGATAGCCATGTTTGTCTTGCAGAGCACATGTGCACAGTGGTTTACTTCGACGACTGCATGTCCATCCACCAGTGCAAGATCTCCTGCGAGTCCATGGGCGCCTCCAAGTACCGCTGGTTCCACAATGCCTGCTGCGAGTGCATCGGACCCGAGTGCATCGACTACGGCAGCAAGACCGTCAAGTGCATGAACTGCATGTTCTAGAGGAGGGAAAGAAATTCAGCCAAAGCGATTTCGTCACAAAGAAAAGTAAGAAGAGTTACTCAGTCTGCTGGTGGCGTTAGGGTGCCTGAGAGTTACAGAGAGGTAGAGAATTTGGAATGAGTTACTTCTAAAGTACGACATGCCCAGGAGGGTGCTAAATTACGTGACTGTACAGCACTTCCTGGCTTTCCTACCTGCTAGCAATGCTCCCCTTCCCTGGAATACATGCAGCTTGGCCAAGCGGGAAGCAGGTGTGCAGAGAATCCCTTGAAGGCTTTAGCAGAAAGTCTGATGCCATTTTCCTCCCATCCAAACACTTTTTGCTGCCAGAGAGTGAGCAGGAGCTTGGGACGGAAGTCGGGAGCTGTCCACACGCAGCTCCGGGCCTTGGAGTGCTCTGGCTGTGCTGAGAGTGCATGCTGTGTTACAGCAGAGTGGACTCAGACCCACCTCTCGCAGAGCCCACGCGGAAACACCATGTCTCAAGCCCTTGCAGTTGGTTGTAGAAGGCAGGTGCTTGCTGTATTTCACAATTGAGAACTCCTGCGTAGCAGAGCCCTTCCTGTAGGATGTGGGCTGTCACCACTGTGGGGAACCTGTCCTTTCCTCTCCCACCCCACCCACAGTGCTGGTGTCACCTGAAGGAAGAGTCCTCTTTGCCAGGGCCTTCGGGTGTGCCACTGGGGACTCGCTAGCGGCTGCGGGCCCTGAGCTGGGGGTGCCTGCCACATCTGAGCACCATGTGGTGTGAGTGACCGCTCAGCCTAGCTGTGCAGCTCGGGTCTCAGCAGATGTGTGACAGGAGGGGAAGGAAAGAGATTCAGGGAGAGGAACAGGGCAATGTGAATGCTGGGAGCTAAAATGGAAAACTTAAGTGTTTATGCTTGCTGTTTTTGTTATTTTTATCTTACGTTTGTTAAGTTTATATCTGGATCTAATGTTCTGATTCAGCAAGTATCATCATGTTGTGGGAAGTTAAGATTATGCAACTTTAAGGAGATCTCTGCTGAGGATGATGTCCACTCCAGGTACCTCCAGCACTTCTGGTCGGCTCCCCAGTGACACGGCAGCACAGGAGGCTCATGCACCCGGGTCCTGCACAGCGCACAGTCCCCGTCTCCAGCACCTCCCAGAAGCGTATTTATACTGCAGTAGGGTCAGGGTTCCAGTTGCTGATTTCTCTAGTGCATTTTGGTCCACAAGTAACTTTTTAGGAACACTTCTTTATATGTCTGCATATTTTAGTATATAAAATAGATAATGCTCTGAGATATGTTGTGTATTATTTGAACACTAGTTAGGTCATTTGAGATAGTATGATTAATTATTATGCCTGATACCTTTTCTTCTCTTCCAGATAACTCTAATGAGTATTCAAGGTACATTCGCCTTTTAAGTATATTTTAGTAGGAAAATATTGAAGTGTCCTTTCCTACTTTACCTAGAGTGCCTCTGTTTAAAGCGTCTTCAAAACGCATCAGCTCTTTTCTTCATCGACACCTAGAAAGCTGAGGTTTTCTTGAACTCATGGAGAGGAAATGTTAAAGGAATCTGCATCATCTCAACCTGCTAGTTCTCCAGTTAATGTGACACCTATGAGCAGAGGAATGCTTTTTCGTGTTTATTGGCAACATTTGTAATATTTTCTTCATAATGACAGCAAACATTTTAACTGCATTTATCATTTTTTAAGATCTTAATTATTAAAGTAGTTCCTTTCCACTCCTTAAATTTCACAGTGGATAATTTTTTAAACCACATTACTTCAACTGAGTTTTTTTTTTTTTGGTACCAGGGATTGAACTTGGCACCTTGCGCTTGCGAGGCAGGTGGTGGAACCACTGAGCTAAATCCCCGGCCCCTTCAACTGATTTTTCTTTACCCTCTTTATCCTGCTAGAAATTATCACCAGCAGGGTGATCTTTCATATTTAAACTTATTTCTTCTGGTTTGCCAGGAGATCGAGAAAAAGAGAGAATTCACCTGAAAGCTTCCATTTCCAGTTCTGAAATGCATTCAAGGTTCTGAATAATGCTGGGTTTTTTTCAAACTGAAAATAACACATTTGAGAAGCTAGTCGCCTCGCTGAGACTTGGATCCCTCCCATTCCAGCATATTCATTCCTATATTGAAGCTTTGGTCAAAACTCCTTTTTGTTTTAATAAAAAATTAGGTTGTTGCCTTTATTGTAATCAGATCCCAAAACACTAGATTTTAAATCAGCAGGTGCTGTAGAAGCCATATATAAAAAGCCTTTCCTGTGTTATGTGCTTGCCTACAGATGGCTGTTTTTCATTGTCACTGCAGCTATACTCATAATTGTCACACCAAGTCACACGATCATTCAGATAGAAGCTAAAGTCTTTCCCTGAGAAAGAGGTCTTTGTGTGGAAATATGATTCTAAGGTTTTGGAAAGCAAAAATGTTTTGTTAGACTGTTTGAACAAATATGTATAAATCAAAGTGACATCAGAATGGAAAAAAGAAGCTAAAACTTTTCTGGAAAATTAGGTAACCATCACAAGGCACATTTTGAAAGTTTCTGTTTATGAAAGCTTTTTGAAGGGCTTTGAAATCGTCTGCACTGCAGTGTCTGTGTTCGCTGTATTTTTCGAGACCGACACCGTAGAAAAGTGTGTTTTCTGTGGTTGTCTTTAGAAACCAAAAACTGTTTTAATAAAAAAGTGAGATGAGGGTGAGTGGTGGTTTTGTCCACGTCCGCAGAGCACCAGAGCGAGCTTGGCGGGCGCTGAGGCCCCACGGGTGCTGCTTTGTCCCAAGTCCCTTGGCTGTGGCCCCGGGCTCTGGAGTCTGCGCCCTGCTCTGCCAAGCTGTGCTGCAGCCCAGGACCTTGGGCAGCTTCTGCTTCTGCTTCTGCTTCTGCTGGGCTCCGGGACAGTGGCGGGGGTGGGCAGGAGCGACAGGAGGACCGGGCCGGGCCGGGCCCAGGCCCTGCTGCAGCTGCTCCACGTCAGGCTCAGAATCCACACTGTGGCAGCGGAGTGTTTGGGGCCTGGGCAGGGGTGGCCCCGGGGACGCCCGGGTACTTAGGGGGCATGGAGCCGAGGGCACCATCTCAGGGAGGGAGGCTCTCTGCATGCCCAGTGCCTGCTGGGTGTGTGCAGGAGTCCGCAGAGGGCGAGGCTGACGACAGAGCCCTCGCGGACAACCAGAGGCATGCCGTGGGGTGACCCGCCCCATCGGCTCCCTTCTCAAACTTAACATGTTTTTCTTTTTAATGCACACAGCATTGTTGTACAGAAGTATGGAGCATATCAACACATGCACGTAAAGTGTCCCGACCAGATCAGAGCAGCTGGCGGGTTGCCAGCATTTCTTTGCATCAGGAAGGTCACAGTCTCCTCTGCTAGGGTTTTCCCAGTGCTAGGGTGGAACCAGGGCCTGGCACACGCTGAGCAGATCCCCACACGTGAGCTCCGTCCCCAGCCCCTTCCATGTTTGACTCTGATACTGGGTTTTGCTGATCTCCCGTGGGGCTCCAGCGTGTGATCCTCCTGCCTCAGTTTCCCAAGTAGTTGGGATTCTAGGCAGGACCACCTTGCCCGGCTCCTCTTCTAGCTGTTTAGCCACAGTTACCAGATCGGAACCAATCCGGTTCCTGCTGTTCTGCCTCCTTGTTCCTGACCTGTGATGCCCGCCCTTCTGCACCGCCCCGGGTCGGGGGCTCCCCGGTCTATAAAGCTGAGGTCACCCTGACCGGGGATGTCAGATGCCAGTGCGTCTGTGACCGAGTGCGCTGCAGTGCTGGCTATGGACCATCTGCTTCTGTCAGTTTGTGAGCTGTAGTCTTGCTCTGCTGCCCCAGGCTGGATTCCAACCCCTGGGCTCCGTGGATCCTTGCCGGCCTCCTGGGCAGCTGGACGGCAGGCGTCCGCACCTTGCTTGGCACACGAGCCTCAGCTCGAGTTGAGACTTCACAGGGCAGGAGCAGAATGAGCCCCGTCCTCACCATTCCCACTGGGTGCCCCCTGGGCTCCCAAGCGACTCGCAGACCAATGCCTGGGAAAGCAGGGGCCCCGCCAGTCGGGGTGACGGAAACACCCTCACTGGACGGCAGGGACACTGGCACAGGACTGTGTCCCATCTGGCTGTGTCACGTGTCAGCTGTGTGATGCTCTGAGTGCAGGGGCACAGACATCGCCACCTGGCTCCCCCCAGGCCCCCGAGCTGCAGCTGTGGTGCCCAGGGCTTTGCACCCAGGGTGTGGCCTCCTGTGCTTGCTGTCCAGGGCCACCGGTCCTGCCACCAGGAGATGGCAACCCTGGACGATGGGGCTCAGCTACAGATTTTACTCGATTTAAAGCAAACAGGACAAGGAGCAGACCCAGTCTCGTTGCCCAGACCCTCTACCCGCACACCCCTCTCGACCCTGACCTGGGTAATCTGCTCACAGCAGCGCCCCAGCCTGCTCAGGGGGTGACAGTCACACTCCCTGGGGCCCTGGCTGCAGGTCCATTCACAGGCACTGCCAGTGCCCCCAAGCCCTGGGACCACAAGCTCTGAGGTCACTTAGGGGGACCCTGGCGGCCTAAGTAGAAGCCACTTACATTGTTGATGGGAATTTCGAGGGTGTCCCCAAGGGCAGTTTTTGTTTGTAGAAAAGACATTACTATTCATTTTAAAATAAAGTTCAGTTTCTTTCACTTACAAAATCATAAACCTAGTGTTTCCATCCCTTTTAAAAAACAGCTTACCGGGACGGGGGGTTCAGCTCAGTGGCACTGCGCCTGTCTTGCAAGCACAAGGTCCTGAGTTCGATCCTTGGTACCGAATTAAAAACAGCTTAACAGTATTTCTGGCCAGCAGCCTGGCAGTTGGGGTGTGAACGTGATGGTTACTCTCAGGCAGCGCTCTGGATTTGCTGAGCACTTAACAACTCCCAGCGCTCAGCTCCGACTCAGTTTCTCAGTGGCACATTTCATGTGGAGACACAAGGCTGTGTTCTCATAAGCTAACTCCACAGCATTGAAGTGCGCCAGTTCTTAACACAGAAATACTGACAGTGTGGTGTGGATTCTCCTATCCCGAGGCCTCTAAGTCATTCCAGGTTGAAAGCCCGGTTCCTGTGAAGGAAGGTAGTTCCCTGAGGTGAAAATGGGTGTCTGCCACCTTAGGGGGCAAGAATAGAGGACCAGACTGTGCCGAGCTCCATCCAGATGCCCCCGAAACATGGGTAGAGGGGGAGCTGCCCCGGGACACTTGGCAGTGAATTACCCATTCCTTTGGGACTGTTCTCGGCCAGCAGGAGGAGCAGATCCGTCTCCTCCCCTGGTTTGCTAACCGAATTACTTCTCTGCTCAGAGGACGGGTGCCCAGGCAGGAGGGGCGTCCGCCAGGTCAGGAGGTTGTTCCCGGCAAGCGCCTGTCACCCAGCCCCACGGCTGTGTGGTGCCCAGGACGTCCATCTCCACACTCCTTGGGGAAGCCTGCTTCCTACTCGGCTCCATGCCGGATCAGATTTGGCATGTCTGTGGCTCCCAAGACATGTTTCTGTCTTTCCTCCATGCGCCCTTTGATGAAATGCTCAGTCATGGAGATGATGTCGTATCTCCCAACCCAGTGGTGCTCCGAGGACCATGCAGCTCTTGTCCGAAGTCAGAGCAGATGCCTCATTCTTGCCAGTGCCGCGTCCGAGGTCTTTCTAGGGAAACTTGTCCACTTGAGGAAGCCCAGCGACTTGTGACACAGACCAACATTTCCTCCTCTCCCCTTGTAAGCGGCTCCTTTTCTAATGGAGAATGATGGAGGTCTGAAGTAATTGTACCTTGAAGAAGCAGAGTTTGTTTTTTCTCACATAACATGGAGTCTGACCAACTCAACCACCTGATCGCCGAGTTCCCAGCCTGCAGATCCATGAGCTGAGTGAGGTTTAGGGATAAACTATGCAGTCTGTGGTGTTTAGTTGCAGTCTGTGGGGTTTAGTTACAGCGACAACAAACAGACTCACACACTGTACAGGGAGGAAGGGGATGGAGCTGTCCACTCTTCCTAACAAGCCAACCTTTAGGAAACACCCGGCAACTCACAAACTCATACATGTAACTCAAACACGTAAGAGTACGTGGTGCTGCGATGTTAAGATGGCTACAGTGTCAGCAGGCAGAGGATGTCTTCTGTTCCATTATAATCTTCCCGGACCATCCTTCATACACAGTCTGTTCGGGACTGACATGTGGTTGTGCAGTGTGTCACTGCTGTTGCTGTTGCTGTTTCCCTTCAGTTCTGTTGGGTTTGCTCAGTGTAATCTGGGACTTTGGTAGGTGCATGCATGTATATGATTGCTAGAACTTCTTGATGAATTGAACCTTTTTTCATTATCACGCTAATGCTCACTATCAAAAATCATTATCAGCATATCCTTCTTTGTCTTTAGAAGTAATTTTGACCTTAAAGACTATTTTGTGTGATATTACTATGGCCCTTCCAGCTCTTTTTTTGTTACTACTGTAAGTCTCGGACTTATGAACATTCAAGTTGCAAACTTTCACAGATATAATGTATAAGATTCACTTTGTCAGCTTATGAACAAATCCAACTCATGAACACTTCTCCCAGAATGGAACTCAGTCAAAAGTTGTGCACATACTGTATTTTCATGTTAAATTTTTTTTTACATCTTTTTACTTTTAACTTATTTGTGCCTTTGAGTCTAAACCAAGTCTCTTGTAGACACTGTATCATTGGACTGTTTTTTTTTAATCCATGTGGCCAATCTCTGCCATTTAATTGCAGTTTTTAATCCATTCACCTTTAATGTCATTGTTGATAGGGAAAGATTTATGTCGAGTATTTTGCTATTTTCTATTTGTGTTTTGTCTTTTTGTTTCTCTGTTCTTACATTACTGTTTTTTATCAGCTACATGTTTTCTACTGTACCCTTTTAATTCTCCCATCACTATTTTTTAGTGGTTGCCCTGGGGATTACAGTTAATACCTTAATTTATAGCAATGTAGTTGATGAGTTCTAATCAAGAACTTCCTTTCCGTGTGCCTCCATTCCCTACCTGCTCTGTGATGTCATGCATAAAAATTATGCCTTTGTACTTTGTGTAGCCATTACACAGATTTTTTTTTATTGCTTTAAGTAGTTACCTTTTAGGGCCTGGGATTTAGCTCAGTGGCGCTGTGCCTGCCTCGCAAGCACAAGCTCCTGGGTTTGATCCCTGGTACCAAAAAAAAAAAGTAGTTACCTTTTAAATCAGGAGGAGAAAAGAGCTACAATATAAATGAAATACATTTATATTGCTCTGTGTATGTGTATGTGTGTGCACACGCACACACTAGGGATTGAACCTAGGGCCTTTGCACTGAGCTATATTCCCAGCCCTTTTTAAAATTTTTAAATTTCAAGACAGCAGTTGCTCAGGCTGGGTGTATTTATCTTGTCGCGAGAGCACCCATTTAGCCCTTGTGAGATGCGTCCACAGAATCGCAGATCAGGCCCAATCACGTCCGTAACCTCGGGGGTATTTAAGCACAGAGGGGTCCCCCTTTAGTCATGGACACAGACAGAACAGCCTATGGTTTTCACTGTTCGTTTACATTTAGTCTCACATTTACCCACAGTCACTCAGAGGTTAAACATTCCCACCCGCCTGGGATGGCCTTAACTCAGTTTTTACAAAGCAAAGCAAATGGGACTCCTAAGAGCCCCTGTCAAATGGGACTTTAAAA